GTGTGTGTGTGTGTGTGTGTGTGTGTGTGTGTGTGTGTGTGTGTGTGTGTGTGTGTGTGTGTGTGTGTGTGTGTGTGTGTGTGTGCAGTCGCCTGTGTTCTCTCTGCCTCCGGGCGCGCACTGATGATATTTGCTCATGTCAGTCGGGCGAGAATGACAAGTGCTCGGCACCTATAATTTACCGCTTGTCTCATTCCACTCACCAGCACGCTAATGTTGCCGCGATTCACGTGAGGTCGAGATGGATGGCAGTAGCAGAGGCAATGGCAGCGAGCGAGGCAGAACTTTGTGTCGTCGCCACTGCTCTGTTCGTGTTGCTAGCAGTTAGCGGAACAGAGTGTAAACAAGTACACGTGTAGATTAACAGCGACATGAAGTGGCAGAACGTGGCGCTGAATGGCTGGCTATACGCGACCAGACAAAGCAGGTGCATTAAAAATGAACAGGTTACAGCCTATCTCTGTTACCTTCTTTTACGCTTTCATTTCCCTCCCCCGCTATCATACTCGCGTTCTCCTCTCTCACTCTGCCTTACCTATAGTGTATTTAGCCATGTTGAGGTTTAGCCTTTTACACTGCAGCTTTTCCCGTCACGCGATCACGCTTCGTTCGAGTGGGAAGAAGCGGTTGAAATTCAGGCAAGCCGCAAGTTAAATACACACTCTCAACTGTCGAGCAGGCAGGAGTCTGCGTGAAATTCATGCTAGACATAAAAACAAAAATAACATTAAATACAATACCGATTTCAATATTTTGAAATCTTATTCAACGGCAGTATAATAATAAATATATGTAGAGAAGATAAAACGTTTATATATGCCGTTCAGACGGTTGCTCCGGCTTGCATCATGCATTATTATTATTATTTACTTTGTATCTTCAGACTGCAGTCTCCTCCTTTTCCATTTGCGGCGGATTTACTAAATGTACATTTCTGACTCGTGACAATGCCGTTCCCGCTGTTCACCGTGCGAATTTCTGTTTTACATGAAATTATTTATGCAATATGCAATATGAACGCATTTATGAAATATTCAGATGAAAATCACCGAGATCTTTGTCAAAAGGTATATAGGTAAGAGCCACATGTACTTCTATGCATTTGTTGCGCGTATACTGAGGGACTTCTAGGACATTCTCTGCTTCTCAGCAGGAAGCCCGAATACTTTAGGTAGTAGGCCTACCAATCTCCGTGCTCCCTAAACATATGACGAACAAACTGTTTATATATACTGGATAACGGATAAAGTAAACAAGCGCAATCGGTTCATTTGTCCATCGTGCATTATTGACCCAGTGTTACGCAATTTACTTATATTATATTATAATATTATTTACGTATATAATCAGCTCATCATCCTCGCAATCCTGCACTTCTTAAAAAATCAAGAAAAAGAGAAAACCACGCAGAATCACGTTTCAGTTTAATTGGCCTAGACTTAATTAATTAGATTAAATTAGCTGGTTTAACTCTGTTGACGTCTGCATGGCGGGCGTCACGGATGCACGGGCTCGGCTCCATACCGAATGAAACGTCAGTGTTTTAAACCAATCAGCGATGTAGTTTCAAAAAAAGATCGGTGAACATGTTCTTGTCAAGCGGTGAACAAGTCGGTGCGAACAAAACAAAGTACTTGTTAGTACTGAAGCGGCACGTAGGCTAGGTAACGATATTGTTACATCAATGCGGTATCATGGTATATGTTGTCTACTCTTTCATCTCTGTCTGTCTCTCTCTCGCTCTCTCTCTCCCTCTCACTCTCTCTAACTATCTATCTATCCACATTTGCCTCGCTCTTCCTCTCTCTTTCTCTCTCTCTCTTTCTCTCTCTATCTCTCTCTCTCTCTCTCTCTTCTCTCTTTTTTCTCTGTCTCTCTCTCTCTCTCTCTCTCTCTCTT